TAGTACTGATCGCAGTGCCTGGAACATAGCAAGTGCTCAGTAGATTTAGTTGCTAACGAGTAGACAATGATTTTTTTCCTCAATTTTTTATTAGTATATTTTTGCAATACATGATAAATACATTCATCATGGGGGAATTAGTACATATGCATAGTGGATCCTGATCCCTTTTACTCCTGCTTCTCCTCCCCTTCCTCCTACCTCCTCCATCCCCAGGTCCTTTTCCTATAATTTTTTTTTTCTCTCTAGACAGGGTCTCACTATATAGTCCAGGCTAGACATGAACTTTCAGTGATCTGATCCTCCTGCCCCAGCCTCCCTAGTTCTGGGATTACAGGTGTGCACCACCATGCCTGTCCCCCATACTTAAAAAGAACCAACTCTTTGATTCATTGATCCTATGTATTGTTTTTTAGTCTCAATCTCATTGATTTCTACTCTGATCTCTGTAATTTCTTTCCTTTTATTAGTTTCAGATTTGGATTGTTCCCTTTCTGGGACCTTTAGATGTATCATTAGGTTATTTATTTGGGATCATTCTATTCTTTTTATGTGTGCATTTACAGCTATAACCTTCCCTCTTAGAATTGCTTTCATTATGTTTCATAGGTTTTAGTGTGTTGTGTTTCTGTTGCCACTTGATTCTAGGAACTTTTTTTCTTTTGGTACTGGGGATTGAACTCAAGTCCTTGCACTTGTGCAGCAGGTGGCAAAACCATTGAGCTAAATCCCCGTCCATTCTAGGAACTTTTTAATTTCTTCCCTGATTTCTTCTGTGACCCATTGATTATTCAGTAACACATTACTTAATCTCCTTATGTTTGTATAGTTTTTGTGGCTTTTGTTGTTGATTTCTGGGTTTATTTTGCTATGATCCAATAGTGTGAAGGAGATTATGTTAATCCTTTTGTATTTATTTACGCATATTTTTGGCCTAAGACATAGTCTTTTGGAAAAAGTTCCATGTGCTGTTGAGGAAAAAAATGTGTATTCTGTGGTTGTTGGCTGAAACAACAGATGTCTGTGGATATCTATTAAGTCCATTTGTTCATTGGTGTAGTTTAATTCTGATATTCTTTGT